TGTACGTAAATACACTCTTCTTCTAAGAGGCATCATCTTCAATCCTTGCACTGAGTTAGTCCGCACCAACGATACCATAGCGCCTGTGTCCACAGTCATTCGAATTCTTCTACCATTGACCTTCCCGTTGATCACCAAACTGTCAGCGGTTTTTCCTAGACTCCTAACGGAAAACATCCTAGGGGCTCCGTTTTCTTCAGCCAATACTCGCTCATTAGTGTTGATTTCCTGGTGCCTATGTTCTCTCGATGGTAAACGGAATCGCATTTGGACGCGGCAATCCCGTTTGATGTGGCCATTCCTGCCACATCTATAGCAACTTATGTCCTGGGATCTTCCGATGTGCCGATGTTCTCTTAATGATGAACGGAATGGCATTTGGATGCGACAATCCCGTTGGATATGGCCATTCCTGCCACATCTATAACACCTAATATCCTGGGATCTTCTCTGGTTCTCTGTCTGGGTGTTGTTGACTCTCTTGTTCACTAGTAATTCACATAGTTTATTAAACATCTCCTCCAAACGTATGTGAGAACTCTTTGGCTGTTCCTCAACCGATACCGAGCCTATCTTCGGTTTAGGAATGGCGCTAAATGCAGCTTCTATTTCCAGCGCCCTGACGAGTACTTCGCTGCTGGTAGAAAATTGGGATATTTGCAGCGCCCTCTGCAATTCGTTGTCCCTCAGTCCGCTGATAAAGCAGTGAGCAGCCAGTTCTTCCCTAAATCCTTCCGGTGCTTCTGGATACGCTAGGTGTACCAGGCGACGTAAGGCTGCTTCGAATTCCTGCAGACTCTCTCCGGACCTCTGCAGGCGTGTCTTGATCTGTGCCTGGTAAAGTTGGCGTCGATGTTGGTCGCCATATCTTCTGTCCAGTGCAGCGACCAAAGTTTGGTATTCCTGCTGTAGGAATAGGGCTGCAGGAATAGTTTGCAGGAGTTCCAGGGCAGGGTCACGCAGCGCGATGACAAGTGCCGCTGCTTTCTCCTGGTCAGTCCATCCATTCGCAGCAGCCGCTGCTTCAAACTGGCGGTGGTACATCGTCCAGGTGGTTTGTCCATCGTAGGTCGGGGCCTTGAGGTTCGCAGTTCCATGAACGCCAGGTGTCTTTACTTGTACCTTGGTCTTCTGTAGATCCATCTCTAATTTTTCCATTTTCTGCTGAAGGCGTTCCTCAAGATCTTCTACGGCTTCTTGAAGGTGGATGTCTTGCCTTTTTTTCCAGTTCTTCAAAGTTCTTCTTAAATCGGTTTTGATCTTCTAATTTTTCTTTCTGGCGACGCACTTCTAAATCTTCAACAATTTTCTCCAACCGTACTTGTCTAATTTCTTGATTTTCAAGAATTTTCTGAAGCCGGTCCTGTTCTTCTTGTTTGTCGTGCTCTCGTTGAACTTTGAAATCTTCGAGAATTTTCTCAAGCCGGTCCTGTTCTTCTTGTTTGTCTTGTTGTCGTTGAATTTTCAAATCTTCGAAAATTTTGTCTTGCCGGTCCTGTTCTTCTTGTTTTTCTTGTTGTCGTTGTAATTTTTCCTCTTCCTTATCTTTACGTAGTCTTTCTTGTTCTTCTTGTTTTTCTTGTTGTCGTTGAATTTTCAAATCTTCAAAAATTTTGTCAAGCCGGTCCTGTTCTTCTTGACGGCGTAATTTTTCTACTTCTTTTTCTTCTGCTTTCTCTCTTCTCATATTCTCCATAAAATCGCCCAATAATTTGCTTACTTCTTCCATTTTCTTCGATTGCTCCCTTGTACCAACCATAAAAATACTCTGATTCGGTCTAAAAATCTTCCAATCCACTTAATTTCTTCTTAAAATCCTCTTGAATCGCACTTCCGACACCAATTGTTACGGATTCCGTGGGTCCACTATTTAAACTCACGATAAAATACTTAACGAATTTATTTGTTTCACTCTGTACACACAACTTATACTATTTACAACACAACTTATGCAACTACTATTACTCTAACGGTATTTCGCGGTACTTTCAAACTTCAAACTTCGGACTATCTTCAGACTTCAAACTTCAAACTTTAAACTTATCCAACTGTCAAAGCGCGGGCCTTATATACCCCCTGGCGGTTGTTTCTAGATTTTTCTAAAGAATTCTATAATTTTCTTTACTTTCTGGCGAATGCGCCAGGTTCCTCAATGCAAGCCGCGACTATCCAGCAGTACGCAGTTATGCAACCAGTAATACACCTTGACAATATGTATGTTAATCTTTATTAATATAATATCACACCGGAAAAATCTAGGGATATCATTTTATTAAAGTTAAAAATAAATGTTTTGAATAAACAACCACATATTTGTAGGCCGATTCTTTCTACTTCGATTGAAACGAAGTAGTCACACTAGTTATTTCTAAATTTGGGATATTTGCAGAAGTGTTTGTGCATTTTTTGTCAAATGTTTAAAAAGCACCTAGCATCAATTGTTCGAATTTAACCTGTACTGGCTATGTTTTTATGATAACTGGCCAGAATTCATTCAAATAGCTCTGTTTAGTATTAAACGACATTATGGAGCGTAGACATCTTAACAGAGACGAAATGCTAAGGGCCATGGGTATGCTCGAAGCTGGAATGCGCCAAATCAACGTAGCTAGAGCATTAAATACAAGGCAAGGTGTAATATCGCGATTAAGTGCACGCTACCGTGAAAGTGGTGATGTTGCAGAAAGGCACACAGGGCGACATCGCATTACTACCCCTCAGGAAGATCATTTTTTACAATTAAATGATCGACGCCGACCGACTCTTACAGCACCAGAGCTTAGTTTAATTCTCCAGGAAACACATAATGTAACCGTTAGTCCTGACACTGTTCACAATAGATTAAGAGAGGTCAACTTAAGAAGTAGACGCCCCTGGAGAGCTCAACCCTTAACGAGAGGAAATCGAGAAGTACGATATTTGTGGGCTCAAGATCATGTTCAGTGGTCGAATGAACAATGGGCCAATGTTCTCTTCACGGATGAGTCACGCTTTGGAATTCATCCGGATTCGAAAAGACTTAGGGTATGGAGAGAACCGGGAAATCTTATTCGGTTAGATCATGTTCAGGAAGTGCACCCTTATCAAGGTGGAACAGTTATGGTCTTGGGAGGAGTCCAGTTAGGCCGAAAAACCGATCTCGTTTTTCTTGAAAGGTTTCTAACAGGAATCACATATCGTGATTTAATTCTTGAGCCTGTCCTGTTACCTATGACCTATGCTAATGATTTTGGGAGAAACTTCATTTTCATGCATGACAATGCACGGCCTCATACAGCCAGAGTGGTAAGTGAGTTTATCAATGCTCATCAATTAAACATCTTACCCTGGCCGGCACAATCTCCTGACCTCAACCTCATCGAGCACGTATGGGACGCGGTCCAAAGAAGAATTTTGGGAATGCGTATGCCTCGTGAAACTCGTAGGGATCTGGTTCGGGCCGTGAATGCAGCGTGGCAGGCTGTACCTCAAGAAGAGATCGACAACGTGATCAGGAGCATGGAGAGACGATGTAGAGCTGTAATGAACAGTAGAGGACGCTATACCCTTTATTAAGTAAAAATGGTTTTATCTTTTTTTTAATTCACAGTTTAGAATAAAAAAAAATGTGTGTATTTTGAGTTCAATAAAAATCAAGGTAAATTTGAAAAATTCGGTAAATTTCGCATTTTTATTTCCAATACGTCCTGTAAACTATTTGTTTATTTTAATTTTATTATATCAGAAATGCAAATAATAAAATTACTGACGATGGCTGGATAAAATTGTAATATCCCTAGACTTTTCCGGTGTGTGTAGATACGTTTAACTAAACTGAAAGAGTAAATAAATAATTATTGCAAATTCCTTTATCACCATATTCCGAAGTATTTTCAATCAAGTTAAATGTACAAGTACAGAAGACAAAATATAAAAGGTAACTGAAAGTTTAATCAATGTTTACACCGATGGGCCAAGAAGAAAAGAAGGACCGGTTTGAGAAATAATTTACAGAATTTGAGAATTTACGATGAACGGACTATGGATAAAAAACAATAGTATCTTACAGAAGATGAAGTTAAGGCAGGCTATATCATGACAGTTAAAGAAATATCTCGTAGGAAGATTAAAAAGCTTGAATGAATTGAAGAATTAAACATAAATGGACTATAAAGACTAACGTTGGCAGGCTTTGCTATAGATGCCATAAAAATATTTCATAGATAGTTAAAAGTTTTAGAGTTTTTATAGATATTAGGTAGTTACTTTTAACCCTACGAAGGTATAAAATAACGACTTAAGTCTGCATGTACTTCCTTGATCACCTACTAACATACGAACAAGAAAGCGTTGAATAAGCTTAATGCCGGTTAATCCGACCTGGCTATTCTCAAAATGTAAGCATTTTTTTTCAGAATTAAGTTTATCAAATCGGTAATTTTCAATTACCAAAAAGACAATTGGAAAAAAGTAAATCGGTAATTTTCAATTACTTACACGTGCTTTGATTAAGGCTTGACTAAGGGTTGCAGAGCTTTAGTATTTGCCATAAAATATCGAGCAATTTGTTACAAAATCATATAAATTAAAGTAATCACAAAACTTCAATCTATTTCCTTATTGTGACGGAATTTTAAATTATGTCTTTATTTTCGAGAAAATTTAGTCCAAACATAAGGAATATTTTGTTGATGTTTGACCTTCAAAATCTTAAAAATAAATAAGTTGTCTAAAAATGTGCTACAATATATAAATAGTATAATCCTTTATCTTTAATTTTCTTCTTCATTTGTGTAAAAACACCTATCCAGTTTTACATAAAGCAATTAAATGCCGAACGCTTATTTTCCTACTTTTTCGGGCTAGTGAAATGGACTCTCAAGAGAGACAAGTATTAATAACGGTAGGGAAAAAACAATATAACAATTCTTGTCAATATTTTATTATAAAATATTTACCTAAAAATATTTTTTTACATAAATCTTAAAACTTTATATTATCTAAAATTAAGGAATGTATTTAAGAAATATTGTGAATATTAAATAACACATTTAACCATAACAGTACTTAAGTACACCGTAATATTTTTAAAGAAAAATTAAAAAATTAACGTAAAAAGGTGGCACTTTTTAGTCATCACCATTCATAGACATTTACTATTATAATGATTGAATGTCTCATCAATTCAAAGTAGTTTTACATTTTGAATCTACGTCAAATACTGTATTTATTGGAATACTGTATGATCGAATAAGAAGATATCGTGGGCGTACAGCGAAAATCCACTAAGTCACATTTTTGGTTGAATTGGATTAAACACACCACTATGTCCAGTTTTTCACGGTCTTTAACATGAAAAACCCATTAAGTCCAATTTCGGCATCCTTATATTATATCACAGTAGTTGCAGAAATAATATTTTATTTTGAGTTATAATATACTCTGAGTGTATCTGTCACTGTGGTTATTGATAAGGACAGTGAATTATAAAAAATAAATACACTCAAATAACATAATATTTCTTTGCCTATGATGCAGATTCTATTTAATCATACATTATTAATAAGTTTATCTTATATAGTGGAAGTTTTAGTTATACAGGGTGGTCCGAATTGTATTCCGGAAACTTCGGCAGCATATTCTGCAGATAAAAATAAGTAAAAAAGTTCGTATAAATGTATGTCCCAAAATGCTTAGTTTCGGAGATACAGGGTGTAGAAGTTTCATTTTTATTTCGATTTTTTCCAAATAATCTCTAAAGAAACGTCAATATTTGGATGAAAATTGGTGGATGGGTGTTTTTTGACATGAGAAATTTGATTTTGATGTCAATATGACTCCCATTTGTTGGTGGTGCCACCTATATGTGTTTTAACTGTTTTGAAGAGTAATAACTTTTCGTCGGTACCTGTATAAAACTACTAAGTAAAAAAATATACATTTGCGACTTTTTTTACATAAAAAAGGTCTCTTGGTAAAAATCGCTACGAGTAATGGTTTTCGAGATATTTGGAATCGAAATTATCAATACTGTCATCATTGACTGAATACTGTCATTCATTGACATAAATTAAACATGTTAACTAATTAGTAATTAGTAATTAGACTGAAATCATAAATTTGAAATCTTTTTGTGTCAAAAGTTCAAAAGAAATTGTTTGATCATCATTTTTTCGCAGAAAAACTTATGATTAATTTAAAAAAATAAAAATTTATTATTTCAGTCAAATAACTATACTCAACGTGTGCTTATTTTTTGTCAATAATGACATGTATTGACTATTTCCATTCTAAATATCTTGAGAACGGTTGCTCGTACCGATTTTTACCAAGAGACATTTTTTACATAAAAAGTGATGAAAATGTATATTTTTTTAGTCAGTGGTTTTATACAGGTACGGTCGAAAAGTTATTACTCTTCAAAACAGTTTAAACACATGTAGGTGGCGCCCCCTACAAATAGGAGTAATTTTGACATCAAAATCAAATTTCTCGTGTCACAATACTCCCAGATACCAATTTTCATACAAATATTGACGTTACTTCAGAAATTATTTGGAAAAAATCGAAATAAAAATGAAACTTCTACACCCTGTATCTCCGAAACTAAGCATTTTAGGACATACATATATACGAACTTTTTTACTTATTTTTATCTGCAGAATATGCTGCCGAAGTTTCCGGAATACAATTCGGACCACCCTGTATAGTTAGAAGAATCTGATTTCATTGATACATAAAAATGTTTTTTGATGTTTTAGTATTGGCTCTTAATGATGGATGATTGTTCCAGAACAAAGTGATGAATCTAGGGTTTTATGTTATCTAAAATCCATGGTAAATAACTGGCAACTCTAGTGTAGATCCCCGGTTGTTCCTCGGTTCCACATTCGCTAGGCCCAAATGACACTATACCGTACTGTATGAATCTGGGGGTGCCCTGTATGAGTCCTGCGTACATCATGGGTCCCCCGCTGTCTCCCTTGCAGGAATCCCGACCCCTGTAACCTCCTGCGCATATTTGCTGTGACGTCAGAGTGGTAAAGCTCTTGTACAAGTTCTTGCAACTTTCTATAGGCAGGACTGGTATAGAGGCCTTGAGTAGAACCGAACTTTTGAGCCCTAGAAAAAAATCAGAACTTATTATTATCAAATTTGGGTTGTACAAAAACTAAAAGTTGTATTTTTCTTCTCTATTTTAAACGGATCGCCTTGTATTTTGTTTTTGTATCATATTGAAACGAAATTTTGTTTAATCTTTTAAATTTTAATTTTAATAAGCACTTTCTATACCTATAGCCGATATTTAATGAGAAAATTTCGTTTTTTAGAAATTATAAGACAAAATTTGTCTTTCGTTTGTTGATAATATGGCAACATAGGTAGTAGATTAAATTTACGAGATAGAAAATCCAGAAAAAATCAGAAGGTTTTAGCAAAAAATATATTTTTTTAAATTTCAAAGTAAAATAACTGGGTTATTTTGGATTTATTTGAAAAACGGTAAAGAGAAAATGTTTCTTTTATCGAAATCCACCAGCCCTGAAAATATTTGCACTTATTTAAGACTCACCCTGTATAATTACTGTTAATGTTTAAATGTACCTAAGTTATGAGATGTCGGGTATTGCTTGTCAAAATTTTGCCGATATTTTTGAAATTCATGACTGATGTGCGTGTTAATGTTTCAAAGTTCCTAAGTAACTAAATAATTTTTTTTTTGGACATATTGTATACATCAAAAACTGGGATCAACATTAGAAATATAAAACATTCAAGAAGTATACTAGGAATTTTACATAGTAATTAAAAATGCAATAATATATAGGGTGTTCTTTTTAAAATAGTCAAGTTAATATTTAGTTTCGGTACAAAACTGCAATTTTGAATATATTTTAGCAGTATTATTGTCCCTAGTGATGGTTAGTGGTCTGTGTGTGTTAAATTTTCAAACTCCACTAAATGCACGTTTTGAAATATAAATCGAAATATTTAGTTTTTTCCCAAGATACATCCTGAATACTAAAGAAATTGGAATTTGTATCTTTTTAATTTTTATCTGTAACTAATAAATTATGATTCTTTTGAAATTATTTTATCATTAAAGGATATTTATTAGATGTTACCATTGAATGATATAATGTGTCTATGAAAAACAAGCCTGCTGTGTTCCATGTCTCAGCGTAAAATACGTTCTGATAATATTATTGCAGTAATTTATTTTGCCACATAAATAGTTTACATTTTTTTATATGTTGCGTCTTTATCATAAGTATTTATTATAGCATTTAAAAGCGCTAATTTAAATTACTCATTTCATTTGAATTTTACATTTCATAATACCGGGTGTTTTTTAAACTGCCTCACCCAACTCTTTTATTTTTCCAAGTAAAACTATAATATTTCGTATGATGGCAAAAATCTGGATTGATTGACTATTTAATTAATTTCGGTTACTACCCCTTTCACCAGAAATTATTACAATCTTTGATTTTCAAATGGTCCCCTGGATATTTTTTACTTTGACATATCATATGTCAACTTTTGACATTTTGAATTAAAATAAACTTTTATTTTAAATTTCAATGTAGTGTTGTGATTGTGTTAAAATCATTAATTTTTATCGATGAGTCTTGGAAAAATAAATTTGATCGTTAGTGATGTTTTTCGTGTTTTTCCTGGACGGTTAAAAAACACCCAAAAGTATTTTTAATCATAACTCATTTTTTTTCAAATGGAACGATAGTGACTCATTAGCATATTTGAAAAAAGATTTTTTTATGAATGAAAGTTGATTCTCACTTATCCCTTAACTTTTTCGAAGCCATCGGAAACAACGTTGTCATGTTCTTACATTTGTACCAGGTCTGTTAAAATTTTGCTGATATTTATTTATTCTTTCGCCTCTTAATTAAATCTATTACCTTTTTATATACAAATTTTTAAAATAAAATTTTCGTAATGATATAAGTCGTACAATAAAAAGTATGAAACTGATATGGAACAGAAGCTTACGCATAGCGCCAATACAATTAAAAAGACGGAACGGATATGGAATGGCTATGGAATGGAAATGGAAGGTATAGTGAAAATCAACCTTTAAATGTAATCATGGAAACGGTACGGAAACGGAACAGATAGTGTGAATTGTTCTATTCATTTATATGATATAATATTTTACGTAAATGGAAAGGAAACGGAAAGTAGCCGATACGGAAGGTATAGCGAGAAAATCAACCTTAATTTAGTATCACATACTTAGTATTTCGAGCCAAATTATTATTACGTTTATTGCCTTGGCACTCTAGATTGAAAGCTGAAATACTTATTTACAAGCGAAAATGTCAAAAATTGACATATTCGTACAGAATGCCATGTTCTATCAAATAAATATAGCAAATAAAAAATACCGAGAATACCATTTAAAAATCAAAAGTTGTAGTCATTTTTCTAAAAGAGGAAGTGACTGAAACTAACTGAATACGTTAGTCAATCTTAATTTATGTAAGTACACTAACATACCAAATCTCTTTTTAGTACCTATCTGAAAAAATAAAAAAGATATAGGAGTGAGCTACTTCTGAAAACACCCGATAGAGTTTAATTTTTTTTTAAATCCAATCAACAGTACAAATTATTTTCATTTAAAATATTTTTGACGCCTATTATGAGGCTTTTTTTTCACTCGATCACATTATTTTATATATTTATAATATTACCGTTGATTGTAAAAATAAGATGCGCAACCTTATGGGTGATTTTGTGGCACAAAACCTGTCCGAGATGTAGCTGGCGTTACCGTCAACCTGTCCGAGAATTCCGAGATTTAGTTTAGCTCTGTACCGCTGCGCGCTGATAGTCGTTTACAGAGCAGCAGATAAAGAATACTGTGCCGTAGTTCTGCTCTCAGTCGACAGAGTAAATAAGGTTTCCGGAGACAGTGTTGCCAGAACTACTGATTAATCCGTAGATGTACGGATTTTGGGTACAGTACGTTAATAATACTGATTTTCTATCATTAAAAAATTTAATTTAATATTATATGATTAAAAAAAGAACGGCGTTAGAGTTGGCTTGGAAATGAAGACGCTGTTATTACATATTTTAGATATTATTGTAAATCTCAATAATCAATAATCGTAATTTTCAAGCCAACTAAACGACTTTTTTCGATTATTTCCTCTAATTAGAGGAAATAAGTGTTTTTGCGTTGATTGCAGAACGATTAGTGTCTCCACCGACAGTACTTGAGACGTAAGGGGAAATCAAATCAGCCTTGTCACGAATTCGCCCATTAGGTTCCGTATCATCCCAATTCTCTCAGTCAACGATATTACCTTCTTCAGTCAGACCCCATCCGGAAACTATGGCAAATTTGCCTGTTAGATCATCATTCATTTCTTCAATAGGCAGACATATTGGTTGTACGTTTCCTGTAAAAGAAACAAAATACAAAATAGAGATATTTATTTAATCACTGAAATGTTTTAGGTATCTGAGTTTTTTAATCATTATTGTCAGAGGGTGTACAGGGTGTTCCATTTTTATGTATTTTATGGGGTTTCTCGTTTAGGAGTAGATGCAAAGATGCGGTTTTTACATCACGTGCTGCTTTTTTATGAAGGTAAAGATGCCACACGCAGATCTGTTCTAGCCCTCTTAGTTCCTGAAATACAGGGGGAATTTGAAATTGTTGACCTTATTCGTGGGAAATTCTATTTTTGAAAGTTGACAACACTGTATAGAGTATATATTATATTTTTATATAACTCATAAGAAGGCAAACAAGATACAAGTAGATAATATACATTAAAAAAACATATGTTGGAGTCATATTTCGAAAATGAAAGCTCACAGTGAAAAACTGCGGAACTCAGTCTTCGCCTATTCGATAAGTTATAAGATATCCCGACAGCGTTGCCAGAGACTTTTCCAAAATTGTACTATTCTGTGGTAAAAATGTACCAGATTTTGATCGATTTGATCGAAAATGTACCAGACAAATCGCGCATCAGTCAAAGTCGTCTCGGCACTGTCAGCCACAGATAGAAAAAGAATTCTTGGCAGGGTTGGCAGAGTATAGTTTGACTTATATTTGATAGAGGGCGATACCGGCGATGTAGAAAACGAAATTAGTGATGAGCGGTATTAGGAAAAATTATCGATTTTTTTGAACTTTCGATATTTGGAGTGTAATTTGCCGATTTTTATTCAGAAAATTATTGTTGTAATCAATGTTTACTGTTAAAAAATGTACCAGAAATGTAAAAAATGTACTTTGGTACAAACGGTTCCAAAATGTACCAGATCTGTACAAATGTACCAGCTCTGGCAACGCTGTATCCCGAACCGAGATACAAGGGGAGTCGAAAAATGCAACAATTTCGAATTCGTCCTGTGTTTCAAGAATTAAGATGGCTACACGAACTGTAACACACGAAAATGGAACACCTTGTACAATCTCCTTACCGTAACTGAAATCGGCCTCTGATGTCAAACGTAGCAAAGCTATGTCGTTGTCGAATGTTTTAGGGTTATATTTCTGATGTGGTATGACGTTTTCGACGTAAAAATCCTGAACAGGTGCTGTACAGTAGTTGCTGTCGCAGTCCTCTTCGGAGTTGCTTCTATCATATTCGCCCAGTCTAACTCCCGTTCTGAAAAAATACATTTTTGACTTGTAATTTTTTTACATACAGGACATTGTTAAATTTGCTGCAGTCGAAGTAAAATCATATACAAAAAAAAATTGTTAGATAAAAATATCTAAATATCAGGTAGGTACACATAATAAAGCTATACTAAGAATTATCTATAATTTTATAATAAAATCAGGAATGTGTTATATGATTGGCAGGATGTTTTGTCAACTACACTAAAATAAACTTTCGTTGTATAAATCGCCAAAAATTTCCCGAAAATATATTTTTCTTTCTGCTTTTCATCGATTTTATGATTATTTAACATCTATTTTTGATGTAATTTTATAAACTAATAAATGGAAAATGTTTATTTTTCGTATAAGCGCCAACATTTTTCATTTAATATTCTTAAATAACGTAATAAAATCGAGAAGGTTCTGAAAAACTTAGATTTATGTTGATGACATTTAAATTTTAATCGATGACATTTCCTATATAAATTTACATATAAAACGACAGCGATCTTTATTTCATAGCCATCGCTGACGCCGTTTTTATTCGATCATACGGTATATGAATTTAGTTTACTTACATGTTTGAATTATGAACGCAATGGGCTGCTGTGAGTACATATCTATTGTTGATGACAGTTCCTCCGCATCTAAATTCGACCTCTTCATCTAAAACAAAGCAATTTTGAATAAAACAAAAGCTCAATACTGAGGGGTGTCTCACTTGGGTAAAAACTGTATACAGGGTGTTACAAATTCGAGGTACGAGCATTAGTATCTCGGTAACCGTAATAGATACGAACATGGTTAAATTGGGGCAAAGTTGCACATTGGGATGTTCACCAAGTTGCCATCAAAAAGTTTTAATAATTTCAAGGATTGCTGAGTTTTTTGAAAAAAAAACGTATTTTTTTGAAAATGAATATTTTACTTTTTCCTGTCGTTACTTTTAAGATAATCAAAAAAACTAATTGCACATTCTCATAGCTACTTTATAAGGGCTATCTGATAGTATTTTTAGATTTTCAAATTAGCTGATAATTTGTGAGATACAGAGGACAACTTCATTTTTTTAAATACGGGCCTGCATTTTTTATTTCAGATTTTGAAAGAACTCGGTCTCCTGAGTACAATGATATGCCACACTTAATTTTTTTTTTGTTTCGGACATTTGAACACAATTTATTTAAACTAATTTCAAGTCCGGCTCTGTTTTTTTTAATATTTTATCTATTCATCGTTACAATATTGATAAGCTTTCGAACTTAACAATGACGTGGGGTAAAACATTGAATATGGAAAGTCAAATGCAATAAAATAATAAAAAATAATACACAAATTAATACATTACTTCACGTCATTTGTAAAAGTGAAATCAATACTTCTCAACATTTACGATAAAGAGTACAAAATGCATTCGGAAGTATAAGAAGAAAGTTCAAAGAGCTATAAATAAAATTGAACGAGAAATAAATTTGTGCAATAGGGAGGGTGCGGCAACCCTTTCGAACATGTAAAGCATTAGAAACTAGTTTGTAGAAGTTGATTTATTTATGATAATTACGATAAATATTACGCATCACAATAAAAAAAGTTAAAAATAATATCTTTAAATTGCCGATCTGGATATAATTTATTTGAATCTTCCAATTGGCTCGATTTTCCTTATTCAATGTTAATTAGCGATCAATATTTTGTTGCGATGAATATAACCAGATTAAATAATTTAAAAAACCACAGTCGGACTTGAAATTATTTTAAATAATAATTAAATAGTTTTGTTGTTGTTAAGGTACCTAAAACAAAAAAGTATAAAGTGTGGCATATCATTGTACTCAGGAGACCGAGTTCTTTCAAAACCGGAAATAAAAAATGTAGGTCTGTATTTAAAAAAATTAAGTTGACCCCTGTACCTCACAAATTATCAGCTAATTTGAAAATCTAAAAATACTCTCAGATAGCCCTAATCAGGGCCCTTATAAAGTGGCTATGAGAATGTGCCATTAGTTTTTTGATTTTCTTAAAAGTAACGACTATTAATTTTCAAAAAATCAGTTTTTTCCAAAAAACTCAGCAATCCTTGCAAATTTTAAAACTTTTTTAATGGCATCTTGGTGAACATCCCAAAGCGCAACTTTGCCCCAATTTAACCATGTTCGTATCTATTACGGTTACCGAGATACCAATGCTCGTACCTCGAATTTGTAGCACCATGTATATCGTCGGCTTTATGACGAAAAGGCGTATCTCGATTTTGGCTACTTTTCAGGAGAGCAATTTAAAGAGAATCACTTACATTAATTTGGCCAATAAATGTAAAGTCTTTAATTTTTTAATAGTGTTTTTGTATTAACACTTAAACGGAGACATTGAGGAAATATTCTGAAGATAAATTGAGCGTAACTTCTAATAAATAATTTATTTTTAGTTGTTTAATAGAGATAGGCCTTTTTGTTATAATAATAATAAATTTATTTCCGAACGAATAGTACACATACGCCCATGTAAAATAAATTTAAAAATGATGGTAAAGTGTTCTTAATAAGGAAAAAAAAATAATACAATATTCACATTATGGAATTACATACAAGAAAAAATCTGAAAATCACCAAAAATTCACCAGAAACAAATATTTTTAAATACTTTTATTCGCGTTGGATTAGATCAACTGAAATCAAAGACAATTTTCATTCCAGAAGCAAAGATAATAATCAATTAAAATATAATACTCTTATCTAGCTTATTTTAATAATATTGTTTTTTATACAAAAATACATATTTTAACTAATATATTTTTAGTAATTATTAGTTAATTGAGGGCATTAATACAGGGCATTTAAACTTACGGTCCATTTAATAAAAACCAAATTAAACAAAAACAAAACACATTTCTTCATTCGTGCCTTTATGATACAAATAACTGTGTAGTAAAGCTTGATTTTCATGCATCCGTTGTCCGACGATATGTTGATACGATATTAATTTTATTGGTTGTATTTAAAGGCTTCGATTGGTTAACCGTTTCTAACCAACCGAAGTCTTTAAATTCAACCAATAAAATTAATATCGTATCATCGTATCGTCGGACAACGGATGCATGAAAATCAAGCTTAACACATTCTGTTTTCCCTGTTCAATGATAACAAATTCGACTTCCATTCTACCTGTTTATGCTGGATGATGATAGGCACAATAAATAAAATTTTCCAAACATTGGCAGGGATGACAATGCCAATGACCTGACAATGATGAGATGAAAATTATTGTATTTTTCGGGCAAGTTTTTGGTTCGCTAAAATGTTCTTAGAGAAATTATGATTTCGGGAAATTTTCCATTAGGGCAATTTTCGTCTCGCTGTTTTGCTTTCGATCAATTTTCCTTCGGCCAAATATTCTCGGACAATCTCTTGCATACCCGATACAGCTATATGCAGAGTCATTCTAACAATGGTTTTTGGCAAAAAAACAGACTCAAAATCAATTAAAAAAAATTGCCGACCTGGATATAATTTATTTGAATCTTCCAATTGGCTCGATTTTCCTTATTCAATGTTAATTAGCGATCAATATTTTGTTGCGATGAATAAATATAACCAGATTAAATAATTTAAAAAACCACAGTCGGACTTGAAATTATTTTAAATAATAATTAAATAGTTTTGTTGTTGTTAAGGTACCTAAAACAAAAAAGTATAAAGTGTGGCATATCATTGTACTCAGGAGACCGAGTTCTTTCAAACCAGAAATAAAAATGTAGGTCTGTATTTAAAAAATTAAGTTGACCCTGTACCTCACAAATTATCAGCTAATTTGAAAATCTAAAAATACTCTCAGATAGCCCTAATCAGGGCCCTAATAAAGTGGCTATGAGAATGTGCCATTAGTTTTTTGATTTTCTTAAAAGTAACGACTATTAATTTTCAAAAAATCAGTTTTTTCCAAAAATCTCAGCAATCCTTGCAAATTTTAAAACTTTTTTAATGGCATCTTGGTAAACATCCCAAAGCGCAACTTTGCCCAAATTTAACCATGTTCGTATCTATTACGGTTACCGAGATACCAATGCTCGTACCTCGAATTTGTAGCACCCTGTATAGTATGTCCCCGGATTATCATTACAAAAGGAAACAATTTTTTATTATTTGTTATTATAAAAATGTTGTTTGTTTTTATTGACATTTTGACAAAAATGCATTATTCATAAACATTTTTGCTTGTTCTAAAATGGTTAATCCTTTTCATTTATATTTATATATATATGTTCCCGTCATCCTTTCGTGGGACATAGGGCTTCTAAGAGATGTTTCCATCTGATCCTATTCTGAGCTGTCTGTTTGATCTCTCCCCATGTTTTCCCGACCTCTTGGGCTTCAGAGATTACTGTTCTTCTCCAGGTATTCCTTGGTCTTCCCCTGGCATGTCTTCCCTGTGGATTCCATTCAAGTGCCTGTCTAGCGATATCTCTGTGGGGTCTGCGCAAAATGTGCCCAATCCAGCCCCACTTTCTTTTCTTAATTTCGATATCTATTCGATTTTGTGATGTTCTTCTCCACAGTTCTTCGTTGTTAATTTGATTGGGCCAGAAAATTCTCAATATTCTTCGAAGACACTTGAAGAGCTGGACTTTAGTTTTTTTGCTATATATAGAGGAGTTCCACACAGGTGTAAGCATGCCAAAAGCTCTTTGTGCCTTCAAAATCCTTTCCTCCATATCTTTCTCTGTGCCCCCATCGCTGTGAACCATACTTCCCAGGTACTGAAATTCATCAACTCTTTCGATGGCTCGGTTGGAGAGGTATAGATCTTGGTTGTTGGGAGTATTTAACCTCATTTCTTTTGTTTTCGCCACGTTGATTTGAAGACCGACATTATTAGCTTCCTCTTGGAGTCTAAGAAGTTTTTGAGACATATCCTAATGTGAATGGGAAAAGATGCATAGATCGTCTGCGTAATCCAGGTCTTCTAGCCTGCTTAAGAGTCCCCATTGTATCCCTAGTGGTTCTTTAAATGCTCTATTTAGTGCTACATCCAGAACGATGTTAAAGAGTAGCGGCGAAAGTATACAGCTCTGTTTTACACCTACTGCAATAGAAATTTTCTCCCCCACTTAACTTTTATGTAATACACAGCTTGTAGCATCATGATAAAGCATTTTAATCATGTGGATTATTTTTTCGGGTATTCCTTTTTCTCTCAAAGCTTTCCAGATGGCTATGTGTTTTATAGTATCGAATGCTCTTTGAAAATCCACGAACACCATGTATAATGGCGATCTGAACTCTTGAGATTGCTCTATTATTATTCTGAGAGTATTAATTTGGTCGATACATGATCTTTGAGATCTAAAGCCTACTTGTTCTTTTCTCAAAGTCGGTTCAAGGGCATCTGATATTCGTTTTTGGATGACTGTAGCAATTATCTTGTTAATAGTGTTAAGTAAGGTAACGCCTCGTCAGTTCTTACACTGGGATAAGTCGCCCTTCTTGGGTAGTTTTACAATAAGTCCTTCTTTCCACGTTGACGGGATATGTTCTGTTTCCCAACTGATTTTTATTATTGTCTCTAGTAGCTGTGCAATGTTTTCTGAGTGTATCTTAAATAGTTCAGCGGGTATATTATCAGGACCTGCCAGTTTTAAGCTGTGATAATGCTTGCTTAATTTCTTGAATCGATGGAGCACGTGTTGCGATTCTAGATTTGCAGTTCTTTGTTGAAGACGTTGGTACCTCATCAATATCAATATCAACATCATATATTTCCTTCTTTATCTTTCACTATGGGACATTCCCTATTAATGTTTTTATTGGCAAGCGTTTTAGTAGTGCGATAAAGTGTCCTGGAATCATTTATTTCAGCTGCCATTTGAGCTTTTTCTGCAAGTTCTTCTGTCCACAAGCGTTTATCTCTTCTTGTTGATCTCTTCACTTCCTTATTCTTTGTGCGATATTGCTCCTCTAGTGTTCTTGTTTGTGTGCTGTGGCCTGCTTGTAGTATTTTTTCTTTAATTTCTTTTCTTTCTTTAATCTTTTTCCATGTCGTATCTGAGATCCATGGCTTTTTAATATGTCTCTGATATCCGAGGTTTTCTTCGGCAATCTTTTGAAGGTTTTCTTTCACTTCTTCCCATTTCTCTTCTATATTTACAGTTGAATTATCGATGTTTATTTCTTCTATCTGCTGCTTTATTTGGTTTTGAATGTTAGGAGAAGCCAGTCGACGAAAATCGAATTTATGTCTTAGCGGTTGTGTTTTCCGAATCTTTGCAATTTTTAATTTTATTTGAGCAATCAATAGGTAATGATCACTGTTAATGTCTGCTCCTCTGTACGCTCTTACATCAAAAAGTGAGTTTCTCCACTTCCGGCTAATTAAAAAGTGATCAATTTGGTTTGTTGTGTGCTCATCTGGCGATTTCCATGTAGCTTTTATATATATTTTTTTAATACTTTTCCATATTTCCCCATACGGTTTTAGAGAAAATTATAAAAAAAAATCCTATATAAAAATTAGAAGGCGTTTCTATGGTAGGTACATAATATAATTTCGATTTCATTCTTTGGTAGAAGGTTGTTATTAATTTTGATTAACCTCATATTTTTTTGCTACAGTTAAAGTATCACACTTTTTGATAACTATTATCACACTTTCTGTAGCATTGAACTAAATAAATTTTTTGCTTCTTTAACATTTTAAAACAGCAAAAAAATATGACATTAATTAAAATTCTAACAATAACAAACTATCAAAGAATGAAAACGAAATTATTTTACCATAGAAACGAATTTTGATCTTTAGAGCTTAGAAGAAAATCAACTGTATTTTCATGTTCTTTTTTAATTTTCTCTAAAACGGTATGGAAATTTGAAAAAGTATAAACGGAATTACCCATTTTAGAATAAGCAAACATTTTTATGAAGAATGATTTTTTCTCAAAATATCATTAATAAAAAAGTTATTCGTCTTGTAAAGACAATCCCGGGACATACTGTAAATATTTTGTTAAGAAGCTGAACTTTATTACAGTTACATGTTATATGATCATCATAAAATATATTTGCTGTAATATATTACCTGGAGATCCATATGCCACTAGTACCATCCAAGGAAATTCTTCTATATTTGTCCCTTTTCCATTGGTTATTCTGGAGTTTGCTGAAATGGGTCCACAAGTGTCCTTGGGCAACAGGTGATAGTTTCTGTGTTTGGAGAGCTTATGTTTGAGACCTTTGAACATTTCTGGCAGCCTTTGTACTTTTTTTACTGACGTTGGCCTGGGCGTCGTACTTGTTGTAGTAGTACTGGTTGCCATGCTTGATCCATAATAACACAATTATGTTTCATATTATTAGAAGGAGAAATAATTAAGCATAGAAGCTGTTGAAAAAAAAAACAAGAGTTGCAGGGGCAGTGATTAGAATTAAACACGAGAAAATAGAGTAAAACTTAAATTTATTTTAAACTAGTGAAAAGATACAGTTCCTCTTATAAATGCTAGACAACAACTAACTATAGTCTTAAAATAGCCAGAGATGTCGTGTTTTTAGAAGACAAGCTCTCAGATGGCTCATCAAGGATCTCTACTGCACCCACTACACCAGAGGTTATTCCGCTGAAGTTATCAGAAGACAGTGACGATGAGGACCTTCAGCCGCTGCTGAGTTGTCATCACCGTCACTGTCTTCTGATAACTTCAGCGGAATAACCTCTGGTGTAATGGGTGCAGTAGAGATCCTTGATGAGCCATCTGAGAGCTTGTCTTCTAAAAACACGACATCTCTGGCTATTTTAAGACTATAGTTATTTGGGTCTAAAAGCCTGTATCCAACACTTGTCTCGGAGTACCCAACGAAAATATACTCTTTGCTCTTGTCGTCAAGCTTTTTTCGTTTAGCATTGGGTATATGAGCATAGGCACGGCATCCAAAAACTCTAAGGTGCTTTAAATCTACCTTTTTGCCTATCCATTTTTCTTCTGGTGTTGCACCACGTATTTTCTTTGCTGGTGAACGGTTCAGAAGATACACAGCTGTATTTGCAGCTTCTGCCCACATTTGTTTTTGGCTATTTGAATCATCCAGCATTGAACGTACTTTTTCAAGTATTGTTCGATTGTAGCGCTCTGCTACTCCATTCTGCTCTGGAGTGTAAGGTACTGTCAGCTCATGCTTAATGCCACGACTTTGAAGAAAATTTCTTAATCGTTCATTACAGTACTCTCCTCCATTGTCGGTTCTCAAACTTTGATTTTTCGATCTGTTTGATTTTCTACCATCAAGCAGAAGGTTTTGAAAATTTCTGGAACCTCACTTTTGTTCTCTAAGAAGTAACAAAAAAGAAGTAACTTTTCAACAAAGCCATGCTGTGATGATTAAGATGACTTAAGCGCCTGTGCCATAGCATCTGAGAATCTGAAGATTGCACCACATTTACGAACTCCTCCCGGACATCGAGTTTATACAGACCTCCAACATTCGCTGCGGTAGCAACAGCTTCTCCCTTAATGACGCAGTCATCACCATTAATTATTTTGCATCCTTCTAAGGCAAAATGTACACAGTGTCCTTTAGAAACCATTTCATTCACTGACAATAAATTTACTGCAAGGTTTGGAACATATTTTATTTTTTGATATGCTCTGCTCAGTGCCGTGCTGTTTCAGTTTTACTATACTGCTCCCAGTTCCACTGACAGTTAATTTTGAATTATTTGCCACAAACACATCCTGCCCCAAATCTTCATCTGTTAGGTTAAAGAGCAGTTTACTGTTTCCAGTCATGTGTGACGAGGCGCCACTATCAATGTACCAGGCTGTGTCATGTACACTATTAGCACTTAAAGCTGCCACAAACAAAGCTTTTCGCCCATTTTTACTAGTGTTCTCCACCTTTGATGAAGAAGAACTTTGCTCACTTCTAGGGCACTGATTTTTATAGTGACCTTTCTGCTTACAGTTCCAGCACCATGGAGGTTTTCTACTTTTCTTCATCGCAAGCGCACAATCACTAGCATGTTTGCCGTTCTGATATTTTTTGTCCTGCAGCAACTTGGTCTTTACAAAGTCAGATGTTATTTCGACACCTGAATTTTCTAGTGCCATAACCGTTGGCTCATAATCAGCTGTAAGTCCCTGCAACATGATGACGCCTAGAAACTCATCATCTATTGGTTTTCCCATAGAAATAAGTTGTTGGGACACAGCCATGACTTCATTAACATACTCTTCCATTGTACCAAAAATTTTCTAGTTTTATTGAGCACAAACTTTTAAGAGTGTTAATCGCCTGTGAAGCCCTTTATCTTCAAACGCTTTTTCGAGAGAGATTTCCACGCTTCACTTGCCGTTGTTGCCTGCATCACATGGGGATACGTCGACTTATCCAGAGAAAGAATTATTTTTGAGAGAGCTTTCTCCTCACGACGAGCTTTTGTAGAAGCATCTACTAAAGTGTCCCATTGTTGACTAATACAGCTCCAAAGTCCGTCTAATTTTAACAACGCACTTATTTGGAACTTCCAGTCACTGTAATTTTCACGACCTTTAAGTTTTTCGACACTAAAGCCAATGTTTGCATTTTCGTTACTCGCCATTTTTATTTTTATTACGACGTCGCAACACAAACCGAACAACCCGTGTACTACCGAACTTAAAACGCGTTTTCTAATCATACTTTACACACCCTGGGCCCATAACCTGTTGAAAAAAACAAGAGTTGCAGGGGCAGTGATTAGAATTAAACACGAGAAAATAGAGTAAAACTTAAATTTATTTTAAACTAGTGAAAAGATACAGTTCCTCTTATAAATGCTAGACAACAACTAACTACTTTCTAACACACGCATCTGGCGAAACCCTTAAAGCCATTGCCAAGAGGCCATAAAACTTTTTCCCAGAAGAAATTAAGATAAGGTCCGCCGACCTAGTGCAAAAGGATCATTTATTGGTTCCTTTTTAAAATGTGAAATATGCATCTTTAAATATTGAATTTCTAACAGAAGCAAGGATCTAACATACAGGGCAGAGCTGCAACAAGTCAGTTTCAAAAAGACTTAAATCTTAAGTCTTAAGTAATTTCTATAATCAAAATGATTTAAATCTTCATTAAAAAGTCTTTGCATTAAATCATTTTCTTTCAAGTCAAGTCATCTGCGTAAAGACTTAAATCAACATAATGTAATTTAAGTCGTTTTTATGACTAAAAATTATTGCATATATCGTTTAAAAATATACAGAATAGCTTTGATAATCTGTGATAAACATTTTTTTGTTAAAATGGATATGGTAAACAAAGTTTATCGTTCAGACCCAATATGATTACAAATTCTTGCACGTTTCGATTTGTGGTCTCTTGGGTTTGAAGAAATTTGACCATTGTTTTGGGCTTAAAATGCCTAGAAACATTATTTTACAGTTTAATAGAGTCAGAATAGTAACACTGTCTCAACAGGGTTACCGGCAAGTTGCAATAGCTTAAATTGTAGGAGTTAACCAAAGCGATGTTTCGCGAATATTAAAAAAATTCAGGGAGACAAACGAGGTTACAGACCGGCCTGGAAGAGGTAGAAAGAGAGTTACTACTGCTGTGCGAGACCATCAAATATCCCTAATTGCACTACGCAATCCCCTGCTTTCTAGTACTGCTATTAAAAATGAGTTAGCTCGCCTTGATGGAGTAAATGTTTCAAGAAAGACTATAGCAAGAAGACTCCATGACAGAGGATTACATTAAGGAGGCCTCTACGTGTTCCGAAGCTTAATTTACAGCACAAAATTACGCGACTACAATGGGCTGAAGAGATGAGAGCAAATGGACCTAATTGGAATTTCGTCATGTTTAGTGATGAAACAAGAATAGGCCTAGTGTCAGACTTGCGACGAACTTTGGTCTGAAGAGCATCTGGAAGACGAGCACGCTTGAATGCAGCTCAACCCCGTGTCCCGTTTCAAGGTGGAAGCATTATGGTATAGGCAGGTATAATGCACGGAGCTCGAACTCCTCTTATTTTATTGATGGTACAATTACAGGTCCCTCATATTTTAGAGACGTTTTAGAGCATATCGTGCGTCCATTTCTAGGGGCAGTGGGAGATGTATTTGTTTACATGGACGATAATGCTCCTCCCCATCGCACTTTAACGGTTCGCGAATTTTGTGAGGAAGAGGGTATAAGGAAACTGTGGTGGCCACCGATGTCTCCAGATATGAATGTGATCGAGCATGCTTGGGACATGTTTAAACGCCATATTGCCAAAAGGAATGATCTCCCCGTACCTTAAATGAATTGAAATTGCTGCGCGCGAAACATGGGAAGCCATTCCTCAACATCTTCTGGACAACTTAATTGAGAGCATGCCACGTCGCGTCGTCTCACAGCTTGCTTTGAGGCTCGAGGAGGCAATACAGACTATTAGTTTTGAGAAATAATTAAAATTGTTTTCAATATTTTCTGTTTAAAATGAAATTTGTTTTTGTTGATTTTCACTCATTATGAAATAAAATTATAATAACAGCCTAGTTGCACTTAGATTTTTAATTTTATATTAGTTAGTCGTTTAGTAAGCCAATATGTCCAAAAATATAAATACAATAAAAATACCGTTATATGCAATAATTTTGGCCATGTGTGTATTTTTTAATGTTAATATAAATTTCCTTGTATTAACGATTGGGCCCTTTCCTTATTACTTATACCGTATGAGAGAAAAATAACGGCGTCCAGTTGGCTGGGAAATGACGATCGATGACATTTCCCATATAAATTTACATGTAAAATGATAGCGATCTTCATTTCATAGCCATCACTGACGCTGTTTTTTTTTCGATCATATGGTAGGTAGTATTAATTTATTGCAGGTAGAAATGAGACTAAAACCGCGTAAAATAAAACGGTTAATTTTCAGAATAACTACAAACGCAAAAATATCTTTATTTTACAAAATTTAACCCATATTATAGTACTTATTATATCATATAATACATATACATATAATTTATATGTGTATTCATCACAGATTAGATGTCAGTGAATACATGTCCATTAAAAAGTGCTACTGATAAAAATTTCTCATAAAAATATATATAAAAATCTGACTTAAGTCTTTTAAAAAGTCTTAATATTTTTAGTGACTTAGGTAAGTTTTTCTAAAAAGATTTAAATCTTTTAAAATATTAAGCCTTTTTTAATGACTTAATTATTTTTCTATTTTGGAATAAAGATTTAAATCACAAATCATTTTGAGATTACTTAAATTTTTAAAGTCAGCTTTCGAAAAATGACTTGATATCAAATGACTTATGTAAGTCATTAAAATGATTTAAATCAAAAAAAGATAGAAAGAGATAGAGATTATAAGAAAAACTAAAAATAGAAAAACTACACCAGATGATGGAGATATATTATTTTATGTAATTTTAAATAATGGTGGGTGTTAGTAATGATACTTACGAGCAACAGACTTTGGGATTGTTGTTTTCAAAGCCACAATGGTGTTCTCTGATTATTTTAACGATACTTCTGGGTCTTGGAATGGGAGATCTATCAAGGAGTTCCGAAAAAAATGGGCATTTTCGAATTTCCACGCATGTGCCTCCCAACGGAGGTGAACATAGTTTAGTATCCTCATAGTCTAAAAAAATGATATGAAGCAAATAAAAAAATAAATATTTAAGTTTGTAGTAATTTTCAGAGATATCTTGTCCGATATCTGCAAGCCTATTGAAGGTAATAAAAATCATTAAAAAACATGTGTCAGGAGTTGTAAGGTTATACCTAAATAAACAAAAGACCACAATTATAGTATACAGTAAATTTTAAGTTTCTTGGCCGCTAGGTAGCGGTAGCGGTTCCATTGATTAAATCAAAATAATTGAAAAATGGTTCAGTCAATTATAGAGAAATCATATATACAGGGTCGTCTGAACTGTATTCCGGAAACTTCAGCAGCAAATTTTGCAGATAAAAATAAGTAAAAAAGTTCTCATAAATGTATGTCCTAAAATGCTTAGTTTCGGAAATACAGGGTGTAGAAGTTTCATTTTTATTTCGATTTTTTCCAATTAATTTATGAAGTAACGTCAATATTTGGATGAAAATTGGTGCCTGGGAGTTTTTTGATATGAGAAATTTGATTTTGATGTCAATATGACTCCTACTTATAGAGGGCGCTACCTACATATATTTTAACTGGTTTGAAGAGTAATAACTTTTCGTCCGTACCTGTATAAAACTACTGAGTAAAAAAATATACATTTACGAAGTTTTTTACGTAAAAAATGTCTCTTGGTAAACATCGCTACGAGTAATGGTTCTCGAGATATTTGAAATCGAACTGATCAATACCTATCATCATTGACATAAATTAACCATGTTGACTAAATAGTTATCAGACTAAAATCATACATTTGAATTGTTTTTGTGCCAAAAGTTCAACAGAAACTCTTTTATCATCATTTTTTCGCAAAAAGTTTATGATTAATTTAAAAAAATAAAAATTTTCTAAATTTATTATTTCAGTCAAGTAACTATATCTACTCAACGTGTTTATTTTTATGTCAATAATGACGTATTGACTATTCATTCTAAATATCTTGAGAACGGTTACTCGTAGCGATTTTTACCGAGAGACATTTTTTACGTAAAAAGTCATAGAAATGTATATTTTTTTCACTCCATAATTTTATACAGGTACGGACGAAAAGTTATTACACTTCAAAACAGTTAAAACACATGTAGATGGCGCCCTCTACAAGTAGGAGTCATATTGACATCAAAATCAAATTTATCATGTCAAAAAGACTGCCAGACACCAATTTTCATGAAAATATTGACGTTACTTCAGAAATTATTTGGAAAAAATCGAAATAAAAATGAAACTTCTACATCCTGTATCTCCGAAACTAAGCAATTTGGACATACATTTATACGAACTTTTTTACTTATTTTTATCTATAGAATATGCTGCCAAAGTTTCCGGAATACAGTTCGGACCACCCTGTATATATTTAAAATGGAGAAAACAAGAACTTTCAAAAAACTTGAAATACATACCGGGTGATCCTTTAAAAAAAGTGAACTTATAATTTTTCTGATCGTCTTTTGATTATTTTTATTTCATTCTGGCGGTTCAGATAAAATCTTACAACTCCTACATTTAAAGTTTTTACTACTTTTCTGTTTGCATGTATCACACTAAATATTTGAAAACCCTGTAGATACGTTTTTGTGTCATTAAGGATCCAGTAATTGATTATTTAAAATGACATCGATTTATTGTTAATTTTTGAAAAAAAAACTGGATTCTTCAAATAAATTTATTTTGTCTAAATAAGATTTGTATATTATTTTTTTCGATTATTCGGTATAATACGGTCAGGAACATGCAATGTAATTTATTTTGATGTATGTTTAAGCGTTGCTAGTCTAGTTTGGTCTAGTAATTTAGTCTTTTTTTAGTACATCTAAAATTCAAGTAAAGCATCTGACTCATGGATCACTCATGTATATTATATATTTTTTTATAACTCCAAGAATAGCAGCTTTCAATACTTTTTCCATTTTATATTAGTAAGGAGAATGTTGGACAAGAAATCAAGAATATGCCGAAAATGTGAACATAAACAATGAGAATCTTAAGTTAGATCAATAACATTTATAACGGTAACGGATATATTTACGATATACTCCGAGAAATCTAATTTATCTCTCTCAAAATACTGTAATAACTACGTTACCGTATTTACTTAACGTTACAAGCACGAGAACTTTCTAATTACATTTTTTAATACCGTATCATGAGGTAAATGCTCACTGGCACAACAACTAAAACTGTTATTTCGGTCTTTCCGATATTCCGATTCATCCGGTCCAACCGGTCCAACCCGTCCATCCGGTCCAGCCGGTATACCAGTTCAGTATTGGTCCCACCGATCTAATTGTAGAAACCGGAATACTGGTTATAGGACCGGTATTTCGTGATACCGGATACCGATACTGAAATCTTAGGACCGAACATCCTTAGTATTGACTATAGATAATATACTTATTTTATATTTACTTCTATGGTACTGATTGTCGCCCTTTTTTGTTAGCATATAAGATTATTATTAACTAGGAAATTTAAATAAATAATTCATTTTATAATAATACAATATGCATAAAACTGTGTCAGTAAGAATTTATACATATTAAAATAATTTTTCGAGAAAAATCAACAAGAGATTATGTGATTTGAAATACAGTAGAACCTAAGAGTAGAACGTTCATCAGACCAGTTATAGGGGTGAGCCACTTTTTGAGACGCACCCGGTATGTAGGTAGTACATGTAGGTACAATAATCACAATAAAGTTTTAATGTGTTTTTAAAGTGTTTGGTGTTTTGGTTTAAATAAAAATAGGTTTAAATTTTAAGCTTGGGTTGGCAAAATAAAAGTATGAAACAATAACATAAAATATTCCTCTGCAGTTATCTGGATACTTCATTAATTCTGCGGAAGCTGTCCCGATATGTGTCCGAATTATCGATGTACTGTACTATTTTTAAAATTTCTAATAATGATTATATTTAAGAGGTTAAATATACGTATTATTATTATGTATATCTACTTACTGATTGAATATCTTGAAAGTAGTCCAGCTTGTATTTCAACAGGTGCAATCACAAAACACAAACAATACAAACTAAGGTAAAAAACACTATTTTTTGCACCACCGTTCATGTTGCTGTGGCATGGAAGCAATAGAAAAATGTAAAGCCTTCTGTGACAAACATTATACGATGTCAAAATTATGCCGATTTCAGATATCAGGGGCTTCCTCTTGGGGAATTCCTACATCCCTTACAATTAAGACCTGTTTATGGTGTTATTGTGATATTTTCAATACTAATAGCTACCTAAATAAACCCGACTATCTCTGAACAGTAGGTAGTACCACCGTCATAAAACTGGTACAAACAGTTTAGAGTCTAATTGAAGTCATTATAATAATTTTTGCATAGCTTGAATACGATTATAAAGTTCACAAAAAAGTCTATTTATATATTTTCCTCATTATATGAAATATATAATTAGAATTCAAGGAGAGTCTGTATTGGTATGATATAAAAAAAATTTGGTTGTTTTTGGGTAGATTTATGAGTAATGATAACAATAGTATGTATATGATAAATAATATATATTCAAAAATAATAAATAAATTAAACAATAATAAAATTAAAATTTGAGTAGAGTTTAATGATTTATTTTTTTAATTTATACATACACTGAGAAAACAAAAATTTTTTGATCTCAATACAAAATGGACACTTATAAAAGGCTCTCTACTATGTCAATGCATAATTTATTTTAATAGTTTTATTTATTAATAGTTTTATTATTATTTTCCATGCCTTCTAGCATACGCCTCACAAAAAAATAATCCATATCTAACAGAGCAAAGGCTGTGTTCAAAGCATGCATTTTCTCTTGAATGTTCTCTTTGGGTTTTCTGTGCGGTTTCTCAGTAGCTATAACAAAAAGATTAATTAACAAAGACCAGAACACAAAGTTTACCAAAAATTAACTAATTATAATTCATAGAAAAGCCGCAAATTAATCTTAAAAAAACTTAAGTTAAAATTAAAACGAAACAATCATAGATCTTCACATTTATTCTTAATCGTATGTTGAAACCTTTATTGTTAGGAATATACATAATCTATCTATATTTTTAGACATTAACATTTCTAGGTTGCGAAAAAAAAATGTTTAGACTTTTACAGAACATACCAAACATATTTTTTTTCTTCTATACATTATATTTACATCAGTAATGGGTTATGCTATATCATGATAGTATCATTAGCAGACGATTTTAACTTTTATTAGCTCAAAACTGTTATTATAAATAAACTGTTTTAGCGTTAGCGTTAAGTCTAGAGTAGGATAAAAGTGTTTATTTAATGTAAATTTTGACCACACATTAGCACAAAATAGTTTACACGAAAAACACTTTTAATTTTTATACGAGCGTTGCCTTTGGAGTTTTTACAATCGAACTTTTCTTCGGTTGTACTGGACACGTCGGAACCAGCCCATTAGGCGATCGAAGCATTGTTAATGCCGAATGGTATACAACAATTTGTTTGTTAATATGATATTCGATCAAATAAGGAAAAAGAATATTCCGCATTCTTCATCACGACAATGCCAGCTCCCATAAAGCACGTCAAACAACTGAATATTTGAAGAAGAAAAACATATCGAATTAATGTCTCATTGCCCGTATTCACCCGATTTATCGCCTAAACTTTTTCTTGTTCCCTACTGTCACCTCAAGAAGCTGTTGAAGACTTTCAAAACCATGTTTCTACGATATCAGCTTTAGAGTGGAAAGAAATATTTCCAGAATCGATTTGAGTGTACGCAAAAAAGTATAGACCTTAAGGGCTAATATTTCGAAAAGCAATAAAAGACTTTGTTTCGAACTTTTCGTTTCGTTTCTGTTTCCCTTTTTGTAAAAACTTAAAATGCAACCCTCGTATACTACCCACAAATATTGATTTGACTTACTTGTTTTGTTCATTCGTGGTAATAATTTTGAACTATCATAACAGCACACCATGGGATAGCTTCCATCGAAGCCACATTCTTGTCTCCTGAGGAACTTCACGGCCGAAGGCTGCAATGGTTTTTTAAGGCTTCTAATTAAATTTATGTAGGGTATACACAGCGTCAATGTTGTGCAGATTTCTGTAGGTCTACATGTAGGATAATTTGTGGTGAAGCCTGTAGATATATGTAAACATTATTTAAAATACGAAATTTTGATTGGTACTTACATAGAATCGAACTTATTCCAAGAACAAATATCAAAACATTAAAATACTTCATTTTCTTTGAAATTTCTTTGTGATATTTACCAGAAGGGTGTCAAATATAAACTAAGTAAATTCTAAGGGCCAACCATTCTTTTCTATCATATCAATTATTTAAAGGTCTTATTGTTTACCTACCTGAGCTACAGTTGGTTCCATTATTTACTGACTGGCGCTACCTGTGGGTTATCTTTGGAAGTACCACAATGGTACCACTTTATTTTCTCCATTCTCGTTGAACAGGCTTCAGTTGATTGGAGGTAGATGGCATAGGTATGAGTTTTGTTAATTTTACTGTAATATTAACTTGGATGTTTTAGTTTAATTTTTAGGATTTATATGGGTTTTATTCGCAATCCTTCCAATGGCGGCGCGGAGTCCAATATTTTGGGGCAATAGAGCGTAACAACGTCCAAAAAGACTCTTTTTGGACTACCAAATTGTCACTCTAAAGATGTAGGTAAACGATTGTATTAAAAAAAATCTAAAACCCATGTCTCCTAAAATGCTTTGTTCTCTAAACATTGCATGCTAACAGAGCTTTAAGCTCACAGAAAACTTAAGTTTTTTTTATTTAAAACGATTTGTGATTTAAATCTTTATTCCCGAATAGAAAAAGATCTAAAAAGACTTAAGTCATTAAAAAGAGTTAAATCTTTTTATAAAGGGCTGAAGTCAGATTTTTATATATTTTTATGATAAATTTTTAACAGCAGTATTTCTTTTGTTGTCTATAGGGTTGGTGCATTCTCCGCCGGTGCTGCCACCATCGGAGAATATCGTACACAACTCGTACATACAACATACAAATACAGGGGTTTAAAAAGCGAGAATACGAACATTTTTTTAATTTAATTATCTAGAGAATACGATAAATTTATCATTCTAAAAGTGTCAGGAAGTATAATTTGTGAAAATTCTAAAAGTAAAAATAAAAGAGTAAATATTTCAATATCTTTAGAAGGTCTAACTTTAGTCTCATGGTCTCATTTACCTACAATAAATTAATAATATAGGTAATATAAGGAAATCGGCCCATGCATCTTTAGTACAAGAAACTTTATATTAACATTAAAAAATACGCACCTACTTAATTTGAATTTTGGCTGTCTTGACTTGACGGTAATGATTTTGATTTAAGTCATTTTGCCGACTTAACTTGCAGATCATCATGATTTAAATAAAAAATATAGACTTAAGTCATAAAAACGACTTAAATTACATTGTATTGATTTAAGTGTTTACGAAAATGGGGACTTGACTTGAAAGAAAATGATTTAAGATTTAAATAATTTAAATATTTTGTTGAAATTGACTTAATATTTAAATAATTTTTTAAATAAAAACATATTTTCTCTTTACCGTTTTTCAAATAAGTCCAAAATAACCGAGTTATTTTAATTTGTGCAAAGTTTAATTTAAGCAAAAAATTTTTTTTTGCTTAAATTTTGAGAACCACTTACTGTATCTTCTCTGGGTTTTCTTTCTTGTAAATTTAATCTACTACCTATGTTGCCATATTATCAAGAAATAATGTTTTTTAACTAAAAACTAAAAAAAATCCAAAATATTTTTCAAAAAATTCTAAATTTTCAATTTTTTTTCGCAAAAAAATCTCATAGGCGTGTTTCTGGAGTCGAAATAGACTACTAGCTAACATATCCATACTTATTTCTGGGACATCCTGTCTATGACAAATAATCCGCTGTATGGGAAACTTTTGGCGTTTTTATAGTTCGTATGAAATCAGAAGTTCCAAACTGAGGTCGCTAACTTCAGTCGCGAGCTGCACGGATTGCATGTGAACTAGCATTTACAATTTTCGGGATCGGAATCCCGTTCTCAAATCCCGGGATAAGAATCTATAATCCCAAAGTCCCGGGATTCCGGAATGGACTTTCCGAATGAGAAATCAGCTACATATATCAAAAAGAATATGAAAGAAGAGTTTTATTAAAATAGACAAAACAACGTAACATTCATATTTAGTGTTTAAAAAACACTTGGTCTTGTTGCAAAAAAGAATAAAATATAGCAAACACGGAAATATAACTTTTAGGTATTGACGTTCTGCTTATTACAAATAAAATATGACATTAGAAAGACTATAGTGTATATAAAATCTAATAATTTTTTGGGCTTTTAATTTTTTCGAGATTTTCGGGATCCCGGGATTTAATATCGGGATTTCGGTGATACACATACACGAGGATCCCGGGATTTCCCTAATGTGAACACAAACCAGCTTAATACATCGAACGTTGCTAGAGTCTCGTGGGGAATAAAGGGTGAAGACGGCAAAGGTTTGACCAATAATTGTATCTAATTTTCCGATGAACAGTGAACGATAACAACGCGACTGAAATTGACACTTTGTAATGCAACGTAATAATAAAATATAATTTTATTAATACATTACTTCGACGGTGCTGTTCGTCTGGAGAGCATTATAGGGTGAGTAAGGTTTGTGCTCAAATGAGCACCACTGAATCTACCTAATAGTTAAATAACATTAAAGATTCAAAAAACTGTTATTAGGAAAAGATATTTGCCAAGATGGAACCTCATTCATGCAATAAAACAAGTAAGTTTCTACTCTACTAAATCTAAATATATTAATCAAAATTAATGCTTGATTATAAATTAAATAGGTTTAAATTTTGAAAATCAAGTGAGGTTAAAATATTATTTAAATTTTTAATTGAAGTATATAATTAAATTAAGTGAAATATTACCGATATTGAAAATTACTTATAAAAAATTATTAAAATTAAATCAGACTTAACTATCTATACCTTTTATAGTGTACCCCAAAATTAAAGTGTACAAGCCTGGGTAACTTATCCAACAGCAGCAGCTGAGCACGGCTATGTTGAACAGGGCTGAACACGGTGAACTCCAGCAACTACGGCTGCATCATCAAGGCCATAAATCTTTGTTGAGTTGAAAAACAGGGTGCATGTCTCGACACCATGTAATCACGTGCAAGTGAATGTAAAAAATAAAACCATCAAAGCAAGAAAGGAAAACCAGGAAAAGTAAAAAACCGGAAAAAAACCCAAAGCGTAACTTATAACTTATCCAGCTAATTAACAATTGACAAAAATTAGTGGATCCATTCAAAATTGTTGTCCAAATCCAATATCTGGCCACATGGCACACAAAAAAAACAAATCTAGGTATGCTATTTTGGTTCAGGCAAATCCTTGAGGAAAAAGGCAATCTCCTCCCGATTACCAATATGGCGATCGGAGGGAAAAGAACAATCATCGACCAAAATGAACCTCCAAAGATTTTGACAATCCAGAAATGACATCAGAAAACGGAAGTTAGCGGCGTTGACGTACTGACCAAATAAACAGGTATTTTGGGGAAAATATTTGAAAGATAAATTGAAAAGAAACTGTCAACACTGCGTAGCTCAGCTGCTGTTAAATATATATATATATATATATATATATATATATATATATATATATATATATATATATATATATATATATATATATATATATATATATATATATATATATATATAAAATAATGATAAAGACATATTCAAATATTATAATTAATTAAGAGAAATTTATAAACAACTAATAAAAAGAGAAAGGGCAATTATACTATTATCAAAACAACTAGAATTTTTTTAGAATTAGAATGAGTGGGAGGGGGGTTAATCACTTCGACCTTAGAGATCCATTGTGTCCCCCTTTCTTGAATCATAACTCATCATACAGTCCCAGGGCTTTGACAAAAGCCAGTATCTGGGACGGTTTTATAGAGGGTAGTTCTCCATCTCCAATATCAGTCGTACCAAAATTCATGGCACGAATGGTTGTCGTCTCGGCGCACTCAGTGATGAGGTGTACTGGTGTTTCACCATCTTCCCCATAGAATCTGCATTCGCCGTTTCTTCTTAGTTTCAATCTACTGAGGTGTTCATTGAGGAGACAGTGTCCTGTTAAAAACCCCGTGACAATCCGAAGATTGTTCTTACTCAGACCCAGGAATATCTGAGATTTTTCTTGATCATAAGCCCTCAGAAACTTCTTCGAGTGTCCTAGACCATTGCAAGATTTCCATTCCAGGTTGCGGATGGAATCTTCCAAGTTCTTGAGTTCCGCGTTGAGTTGGTTACCACTTGGAAAGCAGAACGGTTCTGGTCCAGTTAGTGGAGTGTTCGCTCCTTTCCTAGCTAGATTATTTGCTTTTTCATTGCCTTCTATCCCTTGGTGAGCAGGCACCCAGTGTAGGAGGACTTTGTTTTCTTTGCCTGATTTATTATCAAAACAACACACACAAACTTATTCAGCACATAGCGATTAGATATTTATTTAGAAAGCAATACAGATAAGAAATTCGCCGAAGTTTCTGTGTATTAATGTCCAGCCTATGCCAAATCTTTTTTGAAGTTTTTTTTTGTACAAAATTAAATAAAGCATAATAAACATTATTTCTTTTTCTCAAGAAGATGCATTAGAACTGGGGGTTTAAGTCCACATGGCACATGTGCACTTAATAAGGAACCGCTACTGAATCGTTCGCCATTTTAACCCTATAATATCTACTAACCATATAATGCAAAGCCGCAAATACTATTAGCCATTCGTAAATTTTATGATATTTTCTTAACAAACGGAATATCTTGTTAAACATTTATTTTATTTAAAACATTTATTAGTAACTTATATGCTGAAGTTCAGAAAACGATATCATTACAAAAGAAATCATTAATTATTTATCTGTATCGCCAAGTCGCACAGTATTGCTCACGATGTTCAGCGCAAAATGCGCGGTTGCAGTGGTTGCAATGAAATTGGTGTCATTCTTTGTTTTTTTGATGACATAACAAGTAGTGCGGTTTAGTGTTGGCGGTTCCTGTAAATCTGGCTGCAGAGGAGTTTCTAAAATATCACTGATCAGAAATTTAAGTGAGCGACCTAAAGTTAAGTTATTTTAAGTTGGGACACTTAACCGGTGCCCTAATTACGATCTTGTAAGTTGTTCATGAAGTTTTATCATAAATTCCTTTCTTGTTATATAAGGTTTACCCTCTTTTTAGATTGTGATTAAAAATAATCAATCATTGATACACGCCAAGTTGATAAAGCCATAAAATAGTACATATAGAGGCCATCTTCTTCAATTTCTGAGCCGCTATACGGCCAGTCATCTGATGACCGTCTTTCGTCATCGCTATCAATTGGGAACAGTGCCATAGATAGTGTTTTTAATTCTGCTCCTGTTAGGTGTCTTGTTAGGGTTACCAGATGAAATCTTGTCTACCTCGGGCAAGCCTTCCCAAAAATTTGGACGTCATAATTTTTTAGCGATATAAGAGCAAAAATAGTATAGATATTCTTTTATTCGGAGTAAAAATGATACTTTTTGTGGCGAGACTGGTACGTTTGACATTCAGGCGAGGCACAAAAAATAATTTTTACTCCGAATAGAATAAGCTATTTTTTCTCAAACACCGCAAATCATATTTTAAACAATTTCAAACGTTCCAAATATTATAAAGAGATTTAAAAGTAATACCTTGAAAGTAATTATGTATTAAGAAACTATAGTTGCGCTCTTTGAATTTGACACTTGTCAGTTTAATAATACCGCATGATCGAAAAAAAAACGGCGTCAGCGATGGCTATGAAATGAAGATCACTGTCATTTTATATGTAAAATTATATGGGAAATGTCAACGATCGTCATTTCCAAGCCAACTGGACTCCATTTTTTCTCGATCATACGGTATATTTTTGTACTTGGCGTGCCTACGCGTTAAAATGACTTTTTTATGTTGTCAATCACGTCGCAAAAATTAATATGTACTTTTGTGACGTTTGAAAAAAAAAAATACATTGATAACTTTCAAAACTTAAAATTTACGAAGTAAAACAATGAATTTACACTGTTGTATTTATAGACGACTTTGTATTTTTAAGTAACTAATTTTATTAAAACTATATATTATTTTGCATTATTGCGACATTTCTTAGTAGACCAGTAAAATCCGGACGCTTCTGAAAAATCCGCCCGGACCCAACCGGATGTAGTGAAAATCCGGACGTCTGGTAACCCTATGTCTTGTATCTTCCCACCTCTTTAACATTTTTCGATAAATTCGTCATTAAAATAAAGAGCAGCTCGAAAATGCCTCAAAAATATTAACGTGCATACTAACCTTTTGTTTGAGGAAGCCTGAGGAACATTCGGAATTCTACGACAAATACATAGTTTTTAATTTTTGATCAGTTGGATAGTTTTTGTAAAATTTACGAATGGGTTAGTATTCTAGGGTTAAACAGATATATGTATACAATTCAAGCAGCAAAGAAAATATAATAAAACTTCATGCACACCACTTCCCAGAATCATCGTTAATCTAGAAACCAAAGCAAACCCATACTCCAATCCAGGAGATGAGCGTCTCGACGCATCTCGGACAAAGGATTCGGGCGTCGCGACGCCGACCACGTGAGTCCCAGGGCGGGCCCGAGCCCCATTTCGCCGCCCATTTTGCCCGGGACTCCGCCCTGCTGGGGACGTCAAGTGTCAGTCTCGATTTGAACTTGGCGCCGTTCGGTAGAGCCGTTCCGTCCACGGCCGTGTACGATCGGGAGTTTTTTTCTTGGTTTTTGGTGGGTTTTAGTGTTTTTTCTTGTATTCTTGTGGCTGTTTGGTCGTATTTTGTGTTTTTGGGGGAAGCAAATTATTCGAAACAAAAACAGGCCGCTTACTTGTAGTTTTTCTTTTGAGAAAATGTTTCTTCTGAAACGGGAGATAACATACTTTATCCTTATTTCATTTGGTCTTTTTATTTTTACTTAGTCTTTTATTACGTATTTGTCATTATTTTTCTTTATATTTTTCATTCTTTTATTATCTTTGTGTTCCCTAATATCTATATTCTTTTGTTTTAGATAATTTTATACAATTTTTTAGTTACTTACTTTTGTTAGTATTTTTTTAAATATTAATATTAATACTTTAATTTTTATTAATATATGTGTAATTTTGTTAATTCGATTATATAAATTTTCAGTTTTAGATATTGACACTTTAATTTAATTTAGTTTTTTTGTGATAGATTTTGCGCTTTTCCATTTTATTTGTCTCTCTTTCTTTTTTCCTTATAGTACTCTCCATATTATCTATATTCCATTGTTTTTAGGTCAATTTTGTTTTTTTAATTGTTTTTTATAAAATTTTATTAAAACCTTTGATTAGTCTTCACTTGAATTTCCAAATATCAAATATACACTGAGTCTTTAAAAGAAATTGTTTTGTATTTCGATTTAGGTATTATGTATTTTATTTTATTATTATTTTTAATTGTTTTATTATTTTTTTTGTGAACCTTTTTTTACTTTTCGAACATATTCTTAAAAATGCAGACTTTAATAATTATAGCAGTACTTTATTATCCGAATTTTCCAGATTTTTTTTCTAAAAATCCAAAAATACGGCAGTTTTTGCTTCCCTTTTTTTAAATAAAATATTTTAATACTTTATTTCATTTATCCAGAACGCGTACCGCGGTCAAACCACAAGATTATAGATGAAAATAAGTAGTACCGATGCTTAGTACCGTTTGAGAATACAGGAGGAACAAAAATTCTTTGTTGTTCTCGGGGTACGGGACCCGAGTACCTATACCTATATTGGTGGTGCTTTTTGTTTTTGTTTTTTTCCGTTGGACGACCAGTACCATCGCAAGAACATAGTACCGTAAAAGGGTCCATTTGGAAGGCCTCGAATAATGAAGAAGTCGAGATTGGGGGCCACCATGGCCTTTTTGGCCTTAGTTTGGTTGGCCATGGTGCGATTCACAGAAGCTGACTGGTGGTGAGTGTACTAGTATTTAATAGGTACCTTTGCGGTTTTTATAAAGGATTGATTGCTTAGTTTTTAGTGTCTGAGTTCAAGCTGTCAATTATTCTAATTATGTATTTATTTAAAATGTTACTGTCTTTTAATAGTAGGTACCTATATTTGTAAGAAATCCTTTAATAGACTATTTAGCAAACGATTACATTAAAAAAAAACATGTGTTTAAACAGATATATTCATGTATTGTTAACGTATCAAATTATCAGGCGAAACCCTTCAATATTTTGATCGATGATGTTTTTTAATCGATAAATACATAAATTTTAATGCGCGTAAGCCAGACATAGAGTTGTGATTTCTGTTGTTAACGAGACTATGTTTTTTATATTTGCTGACAAACTGTAGCATAGTACCGTATTTTTATTTATGATTTAAACCATTACCATCAATTATGTGATATGTGATAGTACTATGTTCTGGAGAATAAAGATATATAAGCTTTGTTCGGGTTCTTGTTATTACCGATTCTGAACCGTCCTAGAACTGTGATGCGTATGCGCAGCAGGAAATATGAAGACATATTTTATTTGAAAGAACCCGAAAAAAGCTGTAAACACTGATTTAGTGTAAACAATAGTAGAAGAGTCGTGTGTGGTAGGTCGTAGGGAGACGGTGTCTGAAAGAAGTTTTAACAAAGAGTTTTTAGTATAAAAAAGAAACCGAATGTTTAAATTCACCTGTTTTAGTGGAATACATTTTAATATGAAGAAAAACTTGAAGAACCTAAGAAGTTGAAGTGGAGAACTTAACCTACATAAAAGTCATACTGTTTATCTTTTAATTCTAACGTATTAATTTTTTCCTTATTTAGATTTTAGCAAAATTAATACTTTTGATGATTTAAACTTGTCAAAAAGTCACAAGACCTAAAACATAAACATTCTCGATGTCATACCGGCGTACTGTCTTCAAAGACGGTACTAAAGTAAAGAAATAAAAAATCTTTATGGTGAGGAAAATGCGACATGTATAAGAAAATGTCCAGAAAATGCTCTGGGGGTTTCCTCCAGTGATATAAAGATGTTAACAACTCAATCTAGGGTAGTTACATACTTCTGCTCTTCTTGCATCGATGACATACACGTGTGTCAGTAAGAGCAATTTTCACATTAAAAAATTAAATAAATGAATTACAAAAAGTAACCTAGAAAATTACGAATCCAAAGATGTACCAACAGCTAAAAGGAACTGTCCAACACCAAGCATCACCTACAAGGGATGTAAAAGATCATTTAGAGCGTAAGAGCGACCTTAGCTTGACCAAAGGTGATAGGGAGAGAAAATCTTGTAACTTGCCAATATTTGGTGACAAAGAGCATGAAGATCATGATGTCGACTACAATATTACAAATAGGGTAAATATACCTACTGCACAATTTAAAATCTGATATCCAAAAATTTCTAATAAAAGTACATCGTATTGGAGAAGGCATCTGGAAAACATGTTCAGACCTATTCGGTTAATACTGAAATCCTATGTTGAAGCAAGAGATATACTTCGAGTTAAAAATACATTAAAGGAGGAAAGTGTATATGTTAAGTCAGATCTCAAAGTTTAATACAAAGAGTCGTGGCTAAGGTGAAGATAATGTTAGGATGAAATATATTAATAATATTACCTAAGATAATAACATAACGCCACTGTAGAAAACTAACTAAGATTGATTTAGTTGAGGTCTCCTTCTGGTATAGTTAACTTAAATTCAATGATTAACAAAATGATTGAACTCAAAATAAATGTTCAAAACAACAATCCTGCCAACATTTTAATTGCTAAAACATAGCTGAGGGCTAAGAGAAAAAGGTTAAGAAAAAAAATAGATGAGATGTATGTGTTGGTTTGATACATCAAAAAGATCTGACCATGCCAGTGGTGCATCCGGGCCAGTTAGTAGAAAATTGAGTTCAGTAGGGGTCGTTAAGTCGTTGTGGATCGAGGTTCCTTTAAGTAATATCAATTTCATAATTACGTAGAAGAAAACCGACAACTTTTACAGACAGAGAAAAGCTATGTCCCTGGACAACTCTGTTTACGCTTTTGGATACTTCAACTATGCAGAGATCGCAGAGATCGATTGGGTTACACTGATAATTTTACAAACAATCAGATTTTTTGGAAAACAATATCTCTAATAGAGGCCAATAAATGACCAAATTTTCAACCAGAGTACGTAATACTCATATTGCTTTGCTTGACCTCTTAATATCAAACTATAGAATCTTTGGACAGGGTGGATCTAGGATTCAAAGTACATACTCCGGAGTCGTTTCTGACTTAATAAGTTAATAATATATTATTAGTATTAGGTACATAACTCACCCTCAGGAGGGGCTTGAGCCCCCGAAGCTGATGAATGATGACGTACCGGTGAATGATCGTTGAACTATACCTAAAAGTTGAAGAGTCAGCCATAGTCACCCTCATATTCAAAAAAGGAAATAAACAATAAGCAAAGTGTCATTTGCATGTACATGGATAATACGATGGCAAAAGAATTGATGGATTTCTTTCTAACAAACCGAGTCTGAACAATATGGTTTTCATTTCTGGAGGTCTACTACAACCAATGTCTCAATACTTCAGCAATGGACCTTGTAACATGAGAACACGCAGCATACAGAGATCACTCGCCTAGTCTTTGTGAAGGCATTTCATAAAATCTCAAAAGATTATTTGTTTCACAAGTTCGAACCTTATTAGGGGACACATTCTGGCGTTAACTCATTATTGCGAGATCGTAATTTCTTCTAGATACGCGCGAAATTAGCACGTTCTGTGAAAAAAATGTGAACCGCTGCACTTAACAGAAATTTGGTTCCAAGAAGATTTTATGTTCGTGGACAAATATTTGGAAAATACCACTGGACAATTCAAAATTAATCCATTGAATTTAACTGTGGCTAAACTGTGGCACCGTTAGTAAAACACCCACCAAAATTTACTGTTGAACTATTAACAAGGATAGAAAACCTGTCAAAATTGAGTGAGTCTACCAACAGGCATTGCAAGCTCAATAATAATTTAAAGCTGATGGAATATAGATAGATAAACCCATCTGCATATTCTGTCAATCAGAAGAAGAAACGGAACTACACATGTTATACCAGAACGATATTCTGGGAAATGTGCGGTCCTTCGAACTAGGCGATAATAAGCCACTGGGAAAAAGCTATATGGAAGTTTCAGTTTCAGTTTCTTTTTAAGACTTTTGAAAGAGATACGACTGTAGAACGTAATCTATTGATAAAAAGAAGAACCCTATATATAGAACGTATAATTATCTGTTATTTTTGCCTTGTTACTTCAATTATATTTTCCCATGAGTACTTAGCCGATTATTCAGCTGTAAAAATATCAGATTTTTCATTGAATGAGTCCGAGAACAAAATTCTTTTGGAGAAGAAAAAAGGAAGGCCGTGTACGGTTGACCAAATTACACATGTCGCTGATGATTCTTAGGTTTATGTTAGCAGTCGCTACGCATTACCTTCTCTTCGACATGACGAAGGTAAGAAGACAACAAGATACCTGGGTATCAGGTGTTACCGTTTACTGTTAACCTAAATGAGTGCCTCTTGTAATTTCTTGATGTAATCGGGCCTCGCCCACAAAGCAACAATACACTGAAAGAAGAAAATATTTAAGAAAATTGTGCCACTATAGCTAAGGGATGAGCGAGGTGGAACGAATTTGAAAAATCTAATTATGTATACTGACTTTTTCTGAAAAGTGCTTCTAAACCTCTAAATTTCTTATGTTAAAAGTAACTTATTAGTTTAGGCATTTTTAGGTGTACTACCTGTCTTGACATATGCATATGAAACCTTACTTAAAACGGACATTACAAGGAAACTGCAGGTCGTACAACGCTCAATGGAACGAAATATGCTGGGAATAATCAAGAGAGACAGTATGTAAAAGAATAGAGTGGATACGACAAAAGACCCAGGTAATAGATGTCAGCCACAGAATCAAATCCCTTGAATGGCAATTGGCAGGACCCCTGGCAAGAAGAACAGACAACAGATGGACCACAAAAATTACAGCATGGTACCCACGAGGAATTAAGGGACCTAGAAGAAGACCGAACCTAAGATGGGACCATGATATTAGGAATTAGCAGGGATAACTTGGGCCCGCATAGCCAACAATAGACAACAATAGGCTCAACTACAAAGATCGTATATAAATATGTGAGGGAGGTTACACCATAATTGAAAATGGTTGAATAATCTGAAAACGATGATGATGGTTTTTAAGAAATAAAATGGCACCTTTTTTACAAAAAAAACTAAAACTAAATTCTTCATCTGCGGATTTCTTTGGCGAACCCTGTACAATCAAAACATATTCCATAATTTTTTGAATTTTCCAATAAAGTATCAATACCAGACACAAATTTCAAATAAAACAAAATAATTTCGAACATGGTTACTTGGTTACGGTTCCGCGAAACTTATAAAAAACGCGCGAACTTATGAAACAGTAAACACAACTCAGCGGCAGTTAAAATTTCCTCTTTATTCCAATTCCTCTCTAATACTGATTTATTTCGCTGCTGTCGTTATATTTTCGTTATCTGCTGAAGCCGTGGTCGGTTGGCTGTTATGAGTGCTGTTCCGCGGATAGGGGTCGATATTCAGTAAGATCTACATCTACATCCATTAGTACCGGCACCGGAGAGAGGTCCGCGGATTTGTATCCATCCGAACCTGCTCATCTCTAGTAGAGATTGAAAGGTGTTTTTGAAAAGTCTAATCACGTTTTCTAGAAAATGTCCATGTCTAAATTTATTTATTATTTATGTATATTAAAAATAACTTACATGGTTTTTAAGAAACCTGTTTCAAATTTACTTAATTTCACATTTATTTCCACATTTTAAGGGTAGTAATGAGTAGTTCTAGGGGTTAGAGAGGTGAAGAATGCATCACAAAATATCCCGTATAGATGT